TGGATGGCCTTGAAAGGTCCCTTCCAACCGAAAGGAAGATTCTATGATTATGCTAATAAATTCATGTTTTATATCTGCAAAAGAATTAATATTGATAGGCATATGTTTATGAGTTTCATATTCAGCGGAACCTTCCAGGCATGTACCTAGTGTGCCAGCACTTTGCAAAATCAGGGATCTAGCAGTTGACACAGGCATCATAGAAACTGTAAATAGACTTGATTTAATTTTAATTTAGAGGGAGGAAAAAAAGATACTAGAATGAGATGTAACATGTTATATTAAAACCTTTTACTGCCTGTAGTGTTCTTGAGCTGTGTGTGAGGTTCTTAATCTGCCTAACAGTGATGAAGAGGAGTGGAGAGTGGCTGAGCAGGCAGGGAGGGAAAAAATCCTGGAGGGAACGTGAAGCTTGTTTTGCTTTACTCTGAACCTGTACCATACCGTGAGTTTAAGATATTCAGTTATGTATACCAGGATTTAAACAACCAACAGACAGATCCTGCTATCCGAGACACTAATGCCCTTGCTTTCAGCTGAAATTAGAATGCGTAATCAGTTAAACACTGATTCAAATGGCACGTTCAGTGAAAGGTACTTAAGGAAATTCCCCAATCAGACATGCCCATCAGAAGTGAATTTTTCTGTTTCATTTGCATTAAAAAATAACTGCAGCTTAGAAATAAGGGCTGCGTATTGTCCTTTCAGCAGAGAGAGAGATGTGCTTGTCCCCTGACTCCTAGCAGGTTTTGTCCTTTTGCTAGTTCAGCTTTACTTGTGTGGAGCTTCAGAAACGGTCTTGGTGGTTAGCCAAGATTTCTTCGTCTTTGAGATTCAGTTGTAACTTTTGTACTTAAGGAAATTCCCCAATCAGACATGCCCATCAGAAGTGAATTTTTCTGTTTCATTTGCATTAAAAAATAACTGCAGCTTAGAAATAAGGGCTGCGTATTGTCCTTTCAGCAGAGAGAGAGATGTGCTTGTCCCCTGACTCCTAGCAGGTTTTGTCCTTTTGCTAGTTCAGCTTTACTTGTGTGGAGCTTCAGAAACATGGTCTTGGTGGTTAGCCAAGATTTCTTCATCTTTAAGATTCAGTTGTAACTTTTTTTTTTTAATTCAGTTCTGCTTCGTTTGGACTTAAAGCAAAGGATGAGCTCCCATTGGAAGTATGACTGTCTGGAGTATGTTCATGATTCTGTTAGAGGGCTTAGAGTCTCACTGCTCAGGCTGGAGGAGTTTCTCGTGATAGATTATCTCTGATGATATTTATCAAGCAGCTCACATACAACAAATAAAGGCCAGCAACACCTAAGACAGACTGCTTCTGGCAGCTTCATGTTACGATAGGCTATGAGCAGTTCCATTTTGCCACTTTTGCTTTAGCCTCTGAAGTCTATACGCCAAGAAACAAGATAGGAACACCCCTTCTGAGTTTGTGCGTATCATCCAGCTTATCCATCTCTCTCTCTCCATCTCATAAGAGGTATTTTGAGTAGCTGATACTAAGTGATGCTTGATCCTCTAGTGATGGAAGAGATCTTACTTACTGGGTTCCTGTGCTCTGGCATGATGCTGACTGGAGTATGGCGTGACGTGGTCTGGACTCCTTCTATGTTAACAGTGTCATTGTAGCCACATTGCCCGTTCCAGGGTCGATGCCTACGTGACTAGCGGGCAGTGCTGTACACAGCACCCGAGGCCCAGTCGTGCCCGGCAAATCTGTCTTTGCAACACAGCTTACTGTAATGTTCTTTTCCCTAAGCTTTTCTCAGAATCTGGAGGGACTCGTTTGTTGCCTGTCGCTTGCTTAAGTGCAGGGTGTAAAATAATTAAAAAAAGAAAATTAAATTGTTCTCTGCAGAGGCCTGATGCTTTCAAGGAAGCCTGCATTTAGCAAGTCGAACTCTCAAAGGGTCCCTGGGAAGGAGTGCTGGCATTGCTCGTTCAGCCCTTCTTTATGCACCATGTGACAGTTTTCACTCACAACAAATGCTGCGGGCAATCTGGAGCATCCTTCGAAAATTTGTCAATAGACATCCTATTTCTTCATGCCTGCACAGAGCTGCTCTTGCTTCCAGTTCTGCAGCGTTATTGTAGTAGTGGGCTAAAGGCAGCAAACAGATTTCTTTTACATACGGCAATCAGGAATGGTGTCTCCGCACGATCTGGCACAGAAAACCCTCTCCACTTGTCATTTACATCTTTGTACTTTGCTTTTTGCGTTAGGCGTGCAGCTCTCCTGCACACAGGCCTCTCAGGTGCTGTATCTTCTGGACAGCTCTGATATAGCAAAGAAAGGTGAGAGGACACAGAAAATCAAAGACTGACTGAGAGTACATGGTGCTTTGGGGCTGTTTACTGCAGCTCAGGCTGACCATCAGTCCAGGAGAAAGAATAGCTGCTAGGCTCATGAGTTTGGTGCACTACAGCACCGATATCTCAAGAACAAATCACTTTGAATGGAGGGCAATAGAGGAAAAAAGGCAGAAAATATTTTCACCACAACCTAGGTGATACTAAAAGCTGCAAAACTGGTGTCATACCCATAGAAGGTCATAAGCAGCCAAATTCTGCTCTCTAATGCTTTGATGTTATTGTAAAATAACTCCCGGAGCAACTGAGACAAATTTCTCGGAGAGGTTTTTCAAAACGGTCAGTAAATATCCAACAAATCAAAGCATTAAGTACCTTTTCCTTCACATCTGCCCTTACTGGCCTTACTTCTCAGCTTCCCCATACAAATCTGCCTGTGTAGTATTTTGGGGGGTCCCAACCTGGGATTTCTGATGGCCATACCACTTTTCCTGTTACTGGGAAGGGTATGCAGTTAGATCCATCTAAATGGTACAGTTCCTATATGGAAACACTCTGGTATTATACAGCTTACATGAATGGCTTGTTAAAAGAAATGTATTTGGCTCTAGAGCTGACGACTTTGACAAGAGGGAATCGAACTGCTTTTGCTATTTAATTTGCAGTCCCCTGGTATGTGTATTATTCCCAGGACAGTACAAATGACTGCATCCAACTCAGTTATTTTTCTAACCAAAATATTGTTTTTCTTTCCCCGGTTCAGGAAGACCCTGAACCACAAAATGGTAAGAGAGTGTTTCCAAGCAATTCTCAGTGTGTCCTTGCCCTCTTCTACTTTTCCATGCGTTTCCATCACTGGCCACTGTCAGGGACAAGGCACTGGGCTGGATAATCTTTGATCTGACCTGGGATGATCACTCTTTTTATATGCATAGGCGATCATTGAAGCTTTTAGCAAGGTTCACAAATGCATGTGTGGGAGCTTTGGAAGGGACTGAAGAGGGACGTAGGTTGGATCCCTACACCTTTTCTGCAAACTCAAGGGTGTCTGAAGGGCTGCTCTCCTCTGGGGCTTCCTGCCTGCAGGATTTCAGGGTGACCAGGTTCCTACCTTAAACACTTTTATACTCATGTTGCTTAAAATTAGATAAGGCAAAGCCTGCTTTAGCCCTTGCTTGTCTTTCCTGAATTGCTGTAGGTCATGCTGAGGACTAGCCCCGGCGTTAGGAGCTGGGTTGAAAGGGTTGCACAAAGTTACCTTTGGCCCTTCTTCCCATGCAGCACCAGTTACAGCTGAGACAAAATCCAGAAAGAGTCCCTGTTTGCCGCTTCGCACAGCTGGGCTGCTGGCACGCTGGAATATATTGCATACACTGATTTAACTGTTGGGAAATTTAATCACACGAAAATCTTCCCATTCTCTTAGACAAAGGATTTTTTTTCGACATTTTGCTGTCAAAATCCTTTTCCCATCTGTTATTGCGGCAAAGCAACCTCCTAGCCGGGACGTTTCATTCATGGGTAAAGCTTTCATCGGAACTTGTTTTAAGAAGCTAAGGGCTGGGGGCAGATTTTGCTCCCAGTGAAATGGGCAACAAAACTCCCATTGATTTCCCTGTGAGCTGAACCGAGCCTCTCCTGACAATGGGGAGATTTTTAGAGGAGTTATGACGGCCGTGGACAAGGTCTTGTCGCTTTGCCCTTTCAAAAGAGAACTGTTTCTGGTGGAGGAACAATCGGAATATTTGTCTCTTTAAATGAATGGTTCTCAGAGCCTGCACTGAGAGGCAGTCTCCCTCTCTGCGGCTGTGAGGCTACTCAGAGCCTCCAATAAATCAGCATGCAGGAACTGAGAGCTCTGTCCTTGAAGAGATGCACAGTGTCCTTGCTTATGCTTACTCTGGAGGAATAACCAGGGGAAACAGAGGAGCCCAAATAGTGAGCGGTCTATGACTAAAGGCACTGCATTCTGCACGCAAGCGCTCCAGTACCGAAGGCACGGTACGGACGGCACGCTGCTGCACGACATGCAGCTTTCCTGCTAGCCTGACCAGATTGCTGCTGTTGTTTTTTTGCAGGGGACTGAATGAAATCCTCATGATCATTACACGCTTGTTCAATAATAGCACACCCCAGTCACGTCTCCTTGCAAGCACATTTCGTTGGAATCACTGAGCAGAAGCAAAGAAGAGCTGACGACTATGTGTTTCCAACGCGGGTTGCCGGAGCCCTGTGTTTGCCATTGGCTGCAGTTTTCTGGTTTATTTGCAGCTTCCCCCATCTGGAATATGAAAATGGGACTGAAGTAGATAATTGCTAACAGCAGGTTTTCAAGAGAGGCTTAGAGGGAACAGAATGCCTCTTGCACAGCACGGGCTGCCTGCGCTGAAAGAGCTCTGAGAGATGATTTTAGATGTTACCCACGTCTGAATCTCCTGGAAACTTTACCGTGGAAGCAAGCCATTGCGCACAATCCTGGAGCTAACATCCAAAAGGGGCAAGGAAGGGGCAGCAGGGCCGAACAATGGAATACCTTGTCCTTGGACTGCTCAGAGAAAAGCCAGCAAGCATTCCCCTCCGCTTCCCAGCAAAAAGGGCATGAAGGCGACAATGAACTGAATTTTACCCAGCAGAGCTTCAGTGGCTTTTAATAAGGATGGGATACACTGACCCTTCGTCAAGCAGGGATTTGCTGGGAAACAGAACTTTGTTCTTCATATTCATCTGCGCCTTTGCCGTGGTCACCTTGCTGCAGCAGATCCTCTATGGGAGAAACTATCTCAAAAGGTAAGGGGGGATTTGAAGGAATAGGAAAAGTTGTCTGATCGGGCCGAATGGAGACAGAGATCCAGCCATACGATTGTAACGGTTCAAACCACTTCTCCGTGTTGTGCTGACAGTATTAATATCTTGTCAATCCGGGAAGGTCCATCCAGCACCTGTAATGTCTGCTAGATTATTAATAAAGGAGAATGTCAGGCAGAATATAATGACTTGTTTGTTTCTTAGATTGTGTTTTAGTCCTCAGCTGTTGTAAAAATCTAGGTCTTACTTAACTTAAGCTAGACTGACTTGCATCAGCTGAGTATTTGCCCCTGATCAGATCCTGCCATATGCCATAGGCTTTTCACCCTATGTAAATTCAAGCTGAAATGGCTTGAGAGGCTGAATTAAGGTAGCATGTTCATTGCCTAAACTTTAATGTCTTTAGAATCAAACATGGGAAGGCAATTCCTGAAATCAAAGTGGCGATATTAGTGTTCCAGATAACAGAGAGAGTACTTTATTTTTTCACTGCTATATTCTCATGAATTACTGCTGAGACTGCTTTGTTGTAGAGCACATCAATCTTTGATCAGAAAATGGTACTGCTCTTTTTACAGCAAACACCGGTGGGGATCTTCAAGTGTTTAACCTTGACCCATGCAGAGTTTATTTTACTTAAATCTAGTTTGAGGTGTTACTGCTTGTATGATTTTATAAAGGGGAATGTTTATCTTACATGCTTTGAGGTGAGTGGGTTTCAGTAGTGCAGGCAGCTGCTGTGCAGTTTTTTTGCTGGAATTTAGCTGCATTTTTCCAGAAGAGATCAATGGTTTGGTTCTTGCCTGGTTTGCAACTCATGTAGTTGTTTGCCTTGTGCCAAGAGCGAGCAAAATGCTGACAAATCAGCAAATGTTTCTCACTGGGGCGGAGGGGAGCACAGCAAGCATGATATTAGTATGTATAGACAGGAGCGTCGTAGTTTATCCACAGAGCAATTTGTGTGCCTTGCTTAGCAGTGGGACCTTGGCTGGGGGACTCTACTTTTAGGCACCTCACTTCCAGAAAGATGTGACTCAGTTGGAAGGAGCCGAAGGAAAGCAGAAAGAATGAGCAGAGGTGTAGAAAATGTGTGTTTGTTTGGCTTGGAGAAAATTGAGGGGAGATACGATTAACTGTCTTGAAATACCCAAACTACTTCTGCCAAGAGGAAGGTAATAAACACATCTCTGTGAAGACTCATGGCATGACAAGAAATCATGGACTTAAGTTGCAGCAGAAAAGATTTGGGTTTAACCATGAGGGGAAACTTTGAAAGAAAAAGGCTACCGGAGGAGGTATAAAATCTCCACCTTTGGGGGCTTCAGGAACCTGTTAGGTAGGCAAGGGTAGTACCGAGCTGCCTTGGTGTTGAGAGGATGACTTTATGACCAGTTCAGGTCTCATCTTGCCTTATTTTCTCATTTTTTCCCATTTGTCCTGGAGGCCTTGCAGCCCTACCGATACTTGCTTCTCTAAGTCGAAATGACTGCGACAGGATTAGAGCAATGAAAAATAAATGCCAAGTATAAATTGAAATGAAAAATGGCAAAGTAAAGATAAAATGATGAGGAGATAGAACTAAAATTCTTCCAGAGGGTGATCTCTGTCCTGCCTCATGCCCTGGGAGCCTCTCCTATCATCAGCAGCCTGCAGGGAATGAAAAAAGGCTGATGTCCGGTTCCCAGGCTTGCTAGGAGAAGGTCTGTTTCTGAGCACTTTGCCGTCTAAGGGGCTCAAGCAGGGACGTGCGCAAACATTTTGTCACTTTGACTGGAAAACAGTGTTTATTTAAATGTTTTTTTTTTTATTCCAGCTTGTAACATTTTGTTTCTTTTCCTTTTTTTTTTTTTCATCACAGGAAAGACTCTCAGAGAGGGTCCTTCCCCCCCCTGCCCCAGCGCAGTGCAGGGAAAAAGCGCTTGGGCTCCTTTCTGCTGGGAAGTGATAGTTCTCATCTTTTATGGGAATAAAAATGCAGGATCTGGCAGTCTCGGGCTGTCAGCTATTAATGATAGACAGGTGATTTACATAGCAACCGACATTGTTACCATAATATTATCATGAAGGTACTTTTTCACTTTTTCTGTCCTTCTCTCACTCTCATGTCATGCCAGTACATTATGGTGATCGCTCCCGGGCAGTTCGATTGCAAGCCCGCTCCGGGCAGGGGTAGCTGTAACCTTTAATTACTCTTTTCTTTCACAAACCTCTGGTGTTAAGTCCCCCGTTAGAAGCTGATACTGGCTGTGATGTTCCTTGGACACGTTATAGCTTGCACCTCCAGGGACTATGGTGGAGCTGGTGGTTTTGGAGAGCATCCTTGCCGAGGGAAAGCGGGATATTTATAGCTTTGGTGCTGCTTGCCAAGCTGGAGCTTGGGGACGCTGCCTAAACCTAAAGCCATTTACTCGCTGGGATTCAACTTGCTGCTTGTTTTATGATAGCCTTTGCTTGCATCCCAACATCTGCGACAATAACAGACCTCTGGGCCTCTTCCCAAGGCAGCGGGGAAGAAATTCCCCGGTATATTTAGAGAAACCTGAAAATTGCCCTGAAATACTACTCCAGTACATGTACAATGCTTTTAAGCCTAAATATAACACAGGGCTATCTTGTTTCTTTGTAAGAAGATGGTGGAAATGGGTAAAGGCCAGCAAGGCAGAGGGAAGCTAACCTAAAACAGGCAGTTTGGGCACAACACAGGGGACAGCATAGAGACCGGTCCCAATAAGAGGTCTGGACAAAGGCACCCTTTTCAGGGATAAGGATGGAAAAGTTAGCTGTATGGCTGTAAGCTGTGCCATGCTACTTGTCCTCTTCCCCAAGCAGGGAATGGGCTGGTTATATCGCCATAAAAACCTGCCTGAAGCTCTCCATGGAGCATGCCATGGAGGCTTGTGGTCCCGCGTCTGCCCACAGCCATGCTCCCAAAACCTGGCTGTGGGGATGGCAGGGGAGGATGCTCCAGGAAATAAACTCTCCTCAGTGAAATTTGATAAGGGGACCAGCCTCTGGTCAAGTCCTCTCTTTCCCCTTAATAAGATATTAATGATCTCCTGGCATTGCTGGAAGAAGGGGAGAACGTAGGGATTGAATTTCTAGGTATTCACACATTTTTCACTCACCGTATAATGTTCTCTGCTCCTTCCCCTGCTGTTTTGTACCGTGTCATTGGAAAGCAGAATCCTGCCCACTGTTTTTTTTTTTCCTTTTTTCAGTTTTCCTCCAAATGGGCTGGATGTGGGTGCTCTCGGCAAGGCCAATGCCTCATCCCCATAGTAGCAGCTAAAGTTCTAACGAAAGAGTTAAACTGCAAGCTGGAGAACGACATCGGGAAGCTGCGTTCTCTGTAGCTCCTGATCCTGAGTAAAAAGGATGATGAAATGAGATATAATTAAGGGATTTTAATACAGATCTCTGGGGTAATTATTTTTATTTTAGGATTAATGTGATGATTAAAAATCCACTGCATTGATCTGCTAAAGTAGGTTAAACGCTGTGGACTTCTGCTTAAATCCAGGGCTGCTGCTCGCTTTTGTATTGACTCATCTTTCCGATGCTTGGCTTTCAGCTGAATTTTCTTTTGAATCAGCTGCTCAGCTGAGGGCTGGCCTTTTTTTTGTGAGCTCTTGTTTGGCCAGCAGGGAATAATCCTGGATTACATCAGGAAACTGCCACTACAGTAAAAAATATTGAAATGGTCCCTGTCTTCATCTCCCAACCTGTAGCATGGGAGGGATCAATAGGACGGTCCTTGCCTGCTCTGGCAAGGGAAAAATATCAGAGCAATACTTTACTATATACCTATATTCTATTGGCAGAGAATTCACTAAACACTATTTTTTTAAAAGCCTGACTTCCGCACAGGGTGAGAGTCAGCTGAAGAAGGGAATCTGCCCCTTTAAAAATATTTTTTTTCAACCAAGTGAGGAGAACACATTTTCAAAGCTCTTAGAGACTTTAAACAAAGATTACCCTGGGGTCTGTCAGAGAGGGCACGTACAATAACAAGAATCACACAACAAGAAACAGCAAGCCTTCCCATGCAGGCAGCCTGCGTTATTTGAAAGCTTTACATCTTTTAAATGAGAATGAAACATCACTCCTATGTGTGTGTACCCTATAATTAATATCAGACTCTCATAACTTGAGGTTATACCACCATTCTGGGATTTCTGAAGCAGCTTTTATTCAAGAATTGCAAATCAATCCCCAGACATCTTTACCCCTTTCCTTACCCTCATAAGAAAGATAGCTCATGATCATTTTTTGCACAGCATGGGCAAATGAGGAATTAACCCACAGAAAATAAACCTGGACTACACCTTGAGGCATTATTTGGTCTGTACCATGCTATAAGACCAGATCAGATCTTACTTATACCAGGGACAGCAGCAGTTGTGATGTGAACACAGAGGCCGCATGTGGCCTGAGTCATATTTTATGCTAAGCTGGACTCTCGAGGAACTACAGCCAACTCTTGGCAATTGGGAGCTCCTGCCCCATACGTGGCATGTGCTCCTCTGCCCTGTTCATAACACCCTGTGGAGGTGTTACCCGTAACCTAAGACCATCTATTTCCATTTAAATATTTTTTCCCAAGAGACATAAGCTGAAGGTCACCTAGTGAATCATCTCTCCAACACACAGCTCCATGCCCCCTCCGTCTCTAACCGGAGTGAAATATTATGCCAGCGAAATGACATGCGACCCGTGAGTCACCTTGCTGAATCCCTGATGGGGCTGCAGAACATGTTTTGCTTTTGGTTGGTTTTATTCAGAGGAGAAGAGCACTGGAAACTTCAGGAGACAGCAAAGTCTTGAAGATATCAATATATGTACGCCTGGAACATGGCCATCACCTTAAAGTGACTGGATCTAGTCTAGCATTGCAGGAGAACCTGAGATTCCAGCCATGCTCTTTGTGCTACAGGATATTCCCAAGAGCACGTCAAGAGGCTGGGGACCAGGGTGCCGGCATC